AAACACCTAGGATAGCCAAAACAATTTTTAAAAAGAACAAAGTTGGAGGATTTATATTTCCCAATTTCAAAACTCATTACAAAGCTATTATACTCAAGACAAGGTAGTGCTAGTATAAGGACAGATGTACTGATCAGTGGCACAGAATTAGGAGTCCAGAGATAAATCCAGTTTTGGTTTACTTTGACAAAAGTGTTAAGAGAATACAATAGGGATATTGTATAGTCTTTTTTAATATTGTATAGTCTTTTAAATAGTGCTGAGACAATTTGATATCCACATGCTAAAAGATGAATTTAGACTCAAACTTCGTAACATATTCAAAATTAACTTGTAATGGATCTTATACCCAAATGTGAAAGCAAAAACTATAAAACTTTAACAGGAAAATATAGGAAAAAAAATTTTGTGGTTTAGAGTTAAGCAAAGAAATGATACCAACAGTATGATCCATAAAATGAAAAACTGATAAATTGAACTTTATCAAAATTTAAAACCTCTGTGCTTCAAAAGATGCCATAAAGAAAATGCAAAGAGAAGTTACAGACTGGAGAAAATCTTTGCAAATCATATATTTGACAAAGAACTTGTATCCAGAATATATTTAAAACTTTTATAACTCAATAATAAGGTAACTCAATCAAAAGGGCAGAAGATTTGAGTGGACATTTCACCAAAGAAGATGTAAGAATGGCTGATAAGCACATGAAAAGACACACAACATTATTTGTCATTAAGGAAGTGCTAATTAAAGCCATATTAAGATACTACTTCAAACTCACTATAATGGTTATAATCAGCAGACATTAACAAGTGTTTCCAGAGATGTAGAAAAACTAGAATCCTTATACATTTCTAGTGAAAATGTAAAATGGTAGAGCTACTTAGGAAAATATTTGGCAGTTGTTAAAAAATAAACATAAACTTACCGTATGAATTAGCAACTCTACTCCCCTCCTAGGTATCTTCCTAGGAGGAAAAAAAAGCAAATATCCACACAAAGACTTATATGTGAATGTTTATAGCAGTATTATTTATCAAAGCCCAAAAGTAGAAACAATCCAGGTGTCCATCATCTGGTAAATGGAAAAGCAAAATGGGATATATAGCCATACACTGGAATACTATTCAGCAATAAAAAGGAATGAGCTACTTTTATATGCTACAACATGGATAAACTTCAAAAACATGCTAGGTGAAAGAAGTCAGATGCAAAAGACTATTATATAATCCAATTAAAGAAAGTGTCCATAAAAGACAAACCTATAGATGGGAAACAGATTAAGATTTCCTGAGACTGGGCATGGTTACAGGGATTGATGGCAAATGCGTATGAGGGAACTTTTTGGAGTGATGGAAATGTTCTAAAATTGGACTTCCAAGATGTTTGTTTAAGTATATAAATTTGAAAACTGAATTGTGAAATGAAGAGGAAGGAAGGGAGAGAAAGAAGGTGAGAGAGGGGAAAAGGAGAAAGTGAGAGGATAGGAGGGACTGAAGGCAGGGGTACATTAATTCATTGCCACAAAAAGAATAGGGTCAAGTTGAATACTTCAATTTGAATTACTAAAGGGCAAAAATGTATGAGAGAACATAATGATGAACTGTTTTCAAATCTTATTTATTACCTATCTTCTCTACTAGAATGTAGGCAGGGTTATTTATCTGTTATTTACTCTGATATCTCTCAAAATATAAAAATATTTTATATCTCTACAAAATATTGTACCTTTGGTACAATACTAGGAAGTTAATAAATATTTGTTGAATGAAAGTTGAAGGAAGTGAAGAAAACGAAGTTTTAGTACCATTAAAAAACCCTCATAGGGTAATAAAATAGATTACCTCCTTTTCTGTTAGAAGTCCCAAATGCATCACATTGCCTGATTTCAAGCTATATTACAAAGCTGTTATCACCAAGACAGCATGGTATTGGCACAAAAACAGACACATAGACCAATGGAACAAAATAGAGACTCCAGAAATGGACCCTCAACTCTATAGTCAATTAATCTTTGATAAATCAGGAAAAAAATATCCAATGGATAAAAGACAGTCTCTTCAATAAGTGGTGCTGGGAAAATTGGACTGCTACATATAGAAGGATGAAACTGGACCACTCCCTTACACCATACACAAAGATAAACTCAAAATGGTTGAAAGACCTCAATGTGAGATAGGAATCCATCAAAATCCTAGAGAAGAAGATAGGGAGTTGCCTCTTCAACATTGGCCACAGTAACTTCTTTCAAGACATGTCTCCAAAGGCAAGTGAAACAAAAATAAAAATGAACTTTTGGAACTTCATCAAGATAAAAAGTTTCTGCACAGCAAAGGAAACAGTCAACAAAACTAAGAGGCAGCTCACAGAATGGGAGAAAATATTTGCAAATCCCATTACAGATAAAGGGCTGATATCCAAGATCTATAAAGAACTTCTCAAACTCAACACTCAAAAAACTAATAACCCAGTCCAAAAATGGGCAGAAGACATGAATACTTCTCCATAAAAGACATACAAATGGTTAACAGACACATGAGAAAATGCTCAACATCACCAGCAATCGGGGAAATACAAACCAAAATCACAATGAGATACCACCTTATACCAGTTAGAATGGCCAAAATTAACAAAACAGGAAAAAACAAATGTTGGTGAGGATGTGGAGGAAGGGGAACCCTCTTAAACTGTTGGTGGGAATGCAAGTTGGTACAGCCACTCTGGAAAACAGTATAGAGGTTCCTCAAGATGTTAAGAATAAACCTATTCTACGACCCAGCAATTACACTACTGGATATATACCCCAAAGATACAGACATAGTGGAAAGAAGGGGCATGAGCACCCCAATGTTCATAGCAGCAATGTCCACAATAGCCAAACTGTGGAAGGCGCGAGATGCCCTTCAGCAGATGGATGGGTAAAGAAGATGTGATACATATATACAATGGAATATTATTCAGCCATCAGAAACAATGAATAACCACCATTTGCATCCACATGGATGGAACTGGAGGTGATTATGTTAAGTGTAGTAAGTCAAGCAGAGAAAGACAATTATGATATGGTTTCACTCATGTGGAACATAAGCAATAGCATGAAGGACCATAGGGGAAGGGAAGGAAATCTAAAGGGGTAGAAATTAGAGATTGAACCATGAGAGACTATGGATCCCGAGAAACAATCTGGGGGTTTCAGAAGGAAGGAGGGTTGGGGGAGAGGGTAACAGGGTGATGGGTATTAAGGAGGGCATATGTTGTGATGAGCACTGGGTGTTATACTTAACTAATGAATCTTTGAACACTGTATCAAAAACTAATGATGGGGGCGCCTGGGTGGCTCAGTGGGTTAAAACCTCTGCCTTCCGCTTGGGTCATGATCCCAGGGACCTGGGATCAAGCCCCACATCAGGCTCTCTGCTCTGCGGGGAGCCTGCTTCCTCCTCTATCTCTGAGACTGCCTGTCTCTCTGCCTACTTGTGATCTCTGTCTGTCAAATAAATAAATAAAATCTTTAAAAAAAAAAAAAACTAATGGCTAACTGAACATAATAAAAATTTTTTTTAGTTTTTTATAATAAAAATTTTTTTTAAATGCTCCAAGTTCCTGACATAGATCTAGCATTTACTGCTGTCTTTACCAATTCTCTTTACCTTTTTCAATATATTTCCTCACCTAGGAAGTGAGGAAATACTTAAAGGGCTCTTCATTTAGCACTTTAAGATCCAAATAGAAGAGTATTTGGACTTGCTATGTAAACTAAATACTATGTAAAAATAGGATGACAAAATTGTTAACAATTACAAATAAACTCCTAAGGAGGTAACTCAAAGGTTTTTGTCACCAACTGGTGGCAGAAAATATGCATTGTATGTCCTTTAAAATAGAAAAGACAAACACAGTATTTTTCTTTCTTTTTTTTTTTTTTTTTAGTAACAGCAGTACTGAGGTAAAATTTACATCCATATAATTCACCAAATTAATGTATTTAATTCAATGGTTTTAAGCATATTTACACAGTTGTGCAATCATCACAACAAATTTTAGAACATTTTTTTCACCCCCAAAAGAAACCTCAGACCCTTTAGCAGTTACCTCTCATCTCAGCCACCCCTAGCTGTAGGCAACCACTAATCTACTGTCTCTTTAGATTAACCTATTTTAGACCTTTTATATAAATATGTGACTGGGTTTTTTCATTTAGCATAATCTTTTCAAGGTTCATCCATGTTCTAGTGTGTATCAGCGCTTCATTCCTTTTTTGTGGTCAAATAATATTCCATCATATGGCTATACCACAGTTTATTTATCCATTTATCAGTTGATGGACATTTGGGTTGTTTCCACTTTCTGGCTCATATGAATAATGCTACCACATATAAGTTTTTCTGTGGACATATGCTTTCATTTCTCTTAAATATATACCTAGGAGTAGAATGGCTAGGTCATTTGGAACTCTATATTTAACTTTTGAGGAACTGTCTGTATTCCAAAGTGGCTACACTGTTTAACATTCCCACCAGCAGTGTATGAGGGTTCTGATTTCACCACATCCCTGCCAACAGTTGTTATCCTTTTTTTATCATGGGCATCCTAGTGGATGTGAAATACTATCTTATTGTGGTTTTGATTTGCTTTTCCCTGATGGCTAAAGATGTTGAACATCTTTTCATGTGTTTTTTTGGCCTTTTACATTTTTCTTTGGAGAAATGTCTATTCAGATCTTTTGGCCAATAGTATTCTTTCAACCGTTTCTTTCATTGTCCTTAATATGAAGTGAAACAACACAGCAAATGATACCACAGTTCCAAGTAGGTGTAGATTCACTAAATCTACTGTACGTCACTATTTGGTCTTTTCCTATTTAGAAGGTCAATTCAGTGGCCAAATATTCGAAGTGTTTTCTGGGCTAGTACTCTACAGATAGTCTAACTGAGGCTATACTCCAGACTAACTTATTTTTTTATCTTGTCAATTCAGAGGAAATAACATCCTTACTCACCATTTCCCAGTTCCCAAGAAATGTTGTACTTTTTGCTGGCGCTGTACTTCAACAGACTCAGGGCACTAGAACTGTTCCAGGAGTTATTGGGATTACGACGCAGTGCATTTAGAGCAAATATCAGGTGGAGTCCAGAGCAATCAGCAAAGTTATAAAGTTTGTCTAGAGACCTGGCTGGGAAGAAGCAGGAAAAGAGTTGTAACTTTAAAATCAACATTCCAACAAAAGGAAAATATTAGCTACTATAAAAACCCTTTCTATGAGCTTCCTGCTAATTAATTCCTGCTAGGAATTATGCAGAGAGGCTTCAAAAGCATTATGTTACCTCTTGGTTCAGGGTATATTTTGAAGTGATTTTAGAAAGCAGCACACAGAATTCTAGAAACAGGTTGCAAATTAGCAACCAAGTCTAGTCCATAGAAGGTTTTACTTGTTAACAACAACAACAACAACAACAACAACAACGAAATGGAATTGTTAACGTTTAAAAATGGAAGGTATCACAAAGTAGCTCGATTTCTAACTTCTCTTGAAAAATAAGACAATCTGATACTGCTGCGTCTGTATTCCTTTGTGAAATGATAGGAATAGTGCTGGGAGGCAAGGCCAAGAGAGACGACTTGCAGGTAAGTCTTGAATATAGCTCAGCCTAGCTGCACTTCAAAAAAAGTTTACTCAATTCCACATTTCTAATATTTTTGAGAATGGAAACACCATTAGTATAAATATATTCATTGTCTTTTTGATCCCTGATACCATCAACTCTACTCACCATGTGTCCCATACCCTTCCCATTCCTTCATATCTATTGTCGCCATTCTGGTTCTGGCTCTCATTTCCACTTGCATGAATTATCACAACAATATCTGTGCTTGCCTGTCTAGATTCATCTTCCTTCCAATCTCTTTCATCAGTTTCACTCACCTGTGAAAACCTTAGTGGATTTTTAAGACTTTCCTTCCTTAGTTCAAGGACTGTACAACTCAATCATAATTTCCCCCCAACTTCAAGTCTTTCTATTATCGTCTATGAGTTCTTTATTGGTATCACCCAGTTCTATCTATTATAGAATCCCTTGCTCCACTAGCATTTGCTCTAATTATTCTCCTCATTTGACATGCCCTTTCCCTCTTTTAAACATATCCAGATCTTACTTGTCCTTTTAGACAGTGTTTTACAAGGTATGGATGATGTGACTTTAAGTGCTAAGTAGATTGAAAAAACAATTTAGGTTAATAATTATGTATAGGGGTTCGCATTACCCTAGTATTCATTATCCAAATCCTTAGAGCAGGGTTCCTCAAATGGGGTTCTGTGGAACACTAGGGGGTTCTACAAAAAATGACAGAGTGTCCAAGGTGCCTTATTAACAATTGTTGTAAGTCCTTCAGTCTTGGAAAGCAGAAGCACGATCACTTGGTTGAGTCCATTATCAGTTTTTGATGCGGGGTATGGGGAGGTGCCGTTTTTTTCTTCTTACATATATGAGAAAGTATTTTTTAAGAAGCACCAAGAACAAGGACAGAAGTTCTCTCATTTCAGCTGAAAATAAAAATCCATAGGAACTTATCTGACATTCAACCCAGAGTCTAGTAACTATGCAACAGCAAAAGGCATAGGTTTCACATTAAAGAAATAAGCTTATTTATTTTTAGCTCCAAAGTAGAAATTAAAATTAAAATGTGTTTATAAGCCTATTAAAGTGGGAAATTGGAGGGGGAGAAGAACCATGAGAGACTGTGGACTCTGAGGAACTAACTGAGGGTTTTGGAGGGGAGGGTGGTGGGAGGTTGGGTGAGCCTGGTGGTGGGTATTATGGAGGGCACGTATTGCATGGAGCACTGGGTGTGGTGCATAAACAATGAATTCTGGAACACTGAAAAGAAATTTAAAAAATAAATAAAAATGTTTTTAAAAAGCCTATTAAAGTGATCATGAAACCAACAGATGTGTATATTAATTTTATAATTATCTTGCATGAGCTTGACCAAGACACTCATTAAGAAAATAGCTTCTTTCAAAGTCTTATATAAAATTGTGTCTCAGGCTATAAATTTATTCATATTGCTTTGACATAAAGTTTTATTAACTCTACTACTCAACATTGTTAATTTATTTTCACATTGAGAACAACATTAATTATATTCATAAACTTTATTTAAGCAAGTCTAACAAGTCTGCCTTTAGAAAAATTATATCCCATTTTGGCTTAAACCAGTTATTTAATAAAAACATATGTTTGCCTGTAAGTTTTCAAATTCATGAAAAGGAAAGAAAGGGACTAATTTCAATAAAGAAAGTTAATGACTTGTTTTTTCTTTTTCTTTTTAAGAAAGGTTGTCTAAGAAGTTATTGTTAATTTTGTCTTAAATCTGGATCTGATTTTATTTTTTTTTAAGGTCGGCTTTATTGGGGTCCAATTTACATAGAGTAAAATTCACTCTTTTTTTCCCCTCCTTAATGTCCATCACCCAGTTACTCCATCCCCCCACCTCCACTCCTCCAGCAACTCTCAGTTTGTTTCTATGATTAAGAGTCTTATGGTTTGTCTGCCTCTCTGATTTCATCTTGTTTTATCGTTTTCTCTCTTCCTCTATGATCTTCTGTTTTGTTTCTTAAGTTCCCAAATGAGTGAGATCATATGATAATTGTCTTTCTCTAGCTGACTTATTCTGCTTAGCATAATACCCTCTAGTTCCAACCACATCATTGCAAATTGTAAGATTTCATTCTTTCTTATGGCTACTATTCCATTGTACATATATACCACATATTCTTTATTGATTCATCTGTCAATGGACATCTCAGCTCTTTCCATAGTTCGGCTATTGTGGACATGGCTGCTATAAACATTGGGATGCCGGTACCCCTTCAAATCACTACATATGTAGGTAAATGGAGTAAGACTTCATTGGGGTAAATACCCAGTAGTGCAATTGCTGGGTCATAGGGTAGCTCTATTTTCAACTTTTTGAGACACCTCCACACTATTTTCCAGAGTGGCTGCACCAGCTTGCACTCCCACCAAGAGCATAAGAGGGTTCCCCTTTCTCTGCATCCTTGCCAACATCTGTCATTTCCTGACTTGTTAATTGTAACCATTCTGACTGGTGTGAGGTGATAGCTCACTGTGGTTTTGATTTGTATTTCCTTGATGCCGAGTGATGTAGAGCTTTTTTAAATGTGTCTGTTGGCTATTTGTGTTTCTTTGCAGAAATGTCTGTTCATGTCTTCTGCCCATTTTTTTAAATCTTTCTTTGTAACTTTAAAAAAAATTAATATATAATGTATTATTTGACCCAGGGGTACAGGTCTGTGAATCATCAGGCTTACACATTTCACAGCACTCGCCATAGCACATAACCTCCCCAATGTCCATAATGTAGCACCCTATCCCTACCTCCCCACCCTCCAGCAATCCTCAGTTTCCTGAGATTAAGAGTCTCTTATGGTTTGTCTCCCTCCCGATCCCATTTTGTTTCATTTTCTTCCTCCCTAGCCTTCATGACTTGTCACTCTGCCTCTCAAATTCCTCATATTAGGGAGATCATATGATAATTGTCTTTCTCTGATTGACTTATTTCACTCAGCATAATACCTTGTTCCACCCACGTCATTGCAAATGGTAAGATTTCAGGTTTTTTTATAGCTGCATAGTATTCCACTGTATATACATACCACTTCTTCTTTATCCATTCATCTGTTGATGGACATCTAGTTTCCTTCCATAATTTGGCTATTGTGGACATTGCTGCTGTAAACATTCAGGTGCCTGTGCCCCTTTGGACTACTACATTTGTATCTTTAGGCTAAATACCCAGTACTGCGATTGCTGGGTCGTAGGGTAGCTCTATTTTCAACTTTTTGAGGAACCTCCATGCTGTTTTCCAGAGTGGCTGCACCAGCTTGCATTCCCACCAACAGTGTAGGAGGGTTCCCCTTTCTGCACATCCTTGCCAACATCTGTCATTTCTGACTTGTTAATTTTAGCCATTCTGACTGGTGTGAGATGGGATCTCACTGTGGTTTTGATTTGTATTTCCCTGATGGCTGGTGACGTTGAGCACTTTTTCATGTGTCTGTTGGACATCTGGATGTCTTCTTTGCAGAAATGTCTATTTATGTCTTCTGCCCATTTTTTGATTAGATTATTTGTTATTTGAGTGTTGAGTTTGAGAAGTTCTCACATTTAGATCTTTCAACGATTTTGAGTCTATTTTTGTGTATGGTGTAAGGAAATGGTCCAGTTTCATTCTTCTGCATGTAGCTGTCCAATTTTCCCAACACCATTTGTTGAAGAAACTCTCTTTTTTCCACTGGATATTTTTTCCTGCTTTGTCGAAGATTAGTTGACCATAGAGTTGTCCATTTCTGGGTTCTCTATTCTGTGCCATTGATCTATGTGTCTGTTTTTGTGCCAAAACCATACTGTCTTGATGATAACAGTTTTGTAATAGAGCTTGAAATCCAGAATTGTGCTGCCACCAGCTCTGGTTTTCATTTTCAACATGCCTTTGGCTATTTGGGGTCTTTTCTGGTTCCATACAAATTTTAGGATTATTTGTTCCAGCTCTATGAAAAAAATTGATGGTATTTTGATAGCAATTGCTTTAAATGTATAGATTACTCTACGTAGCATAGACATTGCAACAGTATCTGTTCTTCCAAACCATGAGCATGAAACATTTTCCATTTCTTTTTGTCTTCTTCATTTTCTTTCATGAGTGTTCTATAGTTTCCTGGGTACAGATCCCATGCCTCTTTGGTTAGGTTTATTCCTAGGTATCTTATGATTTTGGATGCAATTGTAAATGAGAATGACTCTTTAATTTCCCTTTCTTCTGTCTCATTGTTAAAGTATAGAAATGCAACTGATTTCTGTGCATTGATGTTATATCTTGATTTTACTGAATTTCTGTATGAGCAATTTTGGGGTGGAGTCTTTTGGGTTTTCCCCATAGAGTATCATGTCATCTACAAAGAGTGAGACTTTTTGACTTCTTTGCAGATTCATATGCCTTTTTTTTTTTTTAACATATAATATATTTTTATCCCCAGGGGTACAGGTCTGTGAATCGCCAGGTTTACACACTTCACAGCACTCACCTTAGCACATACCCTCCCCAATATCCATAATCCCACCCCCTTCTCCCAACCCCCCTCCCCCCAGCAAC